CTTAAGAAGTCAATCTGTTATAAAATTCGGTGATTATTTTTATTTTAAAATTTAAATCGTCCTATAGTACATATTTATATAAATGATCATTTTTTAACTTTTTAAATTATACTTTTTTTGGAAAATAAAAGATAAAAGAAAGATTATAGATGAATTAATTGATGATAACAATGGTAATACAATAAATAGAGTATCTGATAATGGTAAATTTTACTTGCTTTAATAAATTAAACTTATATGGATCTCTATATAAATCAATGATGAAAAAAATAAATATATGCTCCTAGAATATATTTTAATCTATAATTAAAAACTATTCTGTGATTATTAGATTATGTGACAAAAGAATTGAAAATAGATATTAATGCGAATATTAATGAATCTAATGAAGGTAATGTGATTATGTAAATGTACATGTTAATTTTATTTTATAACTAATCTTCTTATTTTTAGAATATTTAACCAGGGAAATTGATCTTGATATTAATACTTTGGGATTTATGTCGATGGGCTGTAATATTTTGCATCAAAAATTTTCCTGAAACAGCCAAAATTATACTACCTATATTTTTCATAAACAAGATATAAACCAAACATAATGGTGAAAAATACGGAATTGAAGTTGTGTTACTTTTCTCTTCCTTACTTTATATCATTGGTCAATTATTCGAATTTTTAAGGAATGTGACACATTAACTTTTTGGTTTCGTTGTTATTTGTTTCAATAATAACTAGCAACTATTCTTGTTGATATTGATCATACACATATAGCACATGCTAAATACAAACAATGCTATAATTTTATAAAACGAGTATTTTTTAATTATTAACAAAATATAAAAATATTTGAATTTTATTGTGATCACGTTATTTACATTGAATAAAGTTTGCCTTTTACGAATTTGTTATATTTAACGATAAAATCACGTATTTTTGAAATAGCTGACGATTCTAACTTAAAATTTAATTTATATATATCTGATATAGTTACATTACTAATCATTTTAAATAGACTATAAAAATTTTTCTGTTTTAAAAATAATTCATCACCTTAAATAAAATTTTTGCAAAATTTTTGCAGAGTTTTATTTGAATTTAAGTCAAAATTTAATTATTGGACGATGATGAAAGTTATAAAAGTTGGTGAAGATCCCAATGTAAAATATTTCTGTGTTCTTGTATATTTTATGCTACCGTTCTCCATATTTGCATAGAGAATTTGGTTTCAAATAAAGAAGATAAAAAGAATGCCACGGCTCATTGAAATTGCCAAAAATTTCACCGGAAATCTTTACAATTATTTTAAATTTAAATATTTTTGAGTTCTTTTCTGAAAAATTTCGTACTGAAGCTTGACACCAAAAACAGTTGACTACTTCGACATTGATAACAGATATTATTTTTTTTTATATTTATAATTAAAGAAATATAAAAATGTATATGTATAATTAAATATTTAAATTCAATTCTTTTTTTCATAATATCGAGATATTTATAAAAGCATTGCATTCATTTTTTAATTTATGAAATAAACATTCTTAAGCTTTGTTTGCTGCTGATAACCATTTTTTCGATTACTCACAAAAGTATTTAATTGAAAATAATTCCTAATAGATGGAGCATAATCGTACTCACCAAGAAAGTTTACAGTCTATATAGATTACTAGCTCTTAAATACTTTTTCGGGTGATTTAACTATTAAATAAGTGCAAAATCGTTAAATTCACTTGATTTGTATTTACTTTCTTAAAAGTCTTAATACCAATCATTAAAAGAGACGATTTGCAGATGAAAGAAATTGAAGTATGGCTTCGTGTATTAAGGTGGAATTGCACTAAATCCAACCTTATTACAGAACCCGCAACTTAGACTAATTGGTGATTTCAAAATTATGGAGCATACTTTATAAAGATGCTTATCATAATACAAGTATTTTTTCAATGTATTCAAGTTAATTAAACAGTTAATGAATATGTTGACGGTTAATAACCGGTTAAAGAATTTTTTGTCGGTTCCAACCTCTAATTTGATTACTTTTGAGAGTGACCTAAAACATTTCAGCATATTTGCGAAATTAGGCTTATTTACTGTAAGGAACAAAAGAAACTATTGTTGGATACAAACCTTTAATGAAAATCTACTAATGACTGGGATAAAACTAAAATAGTTTATATTTTCTTTTATTTATAAGGATTACTTTATCAAAAATGCGATATTTAACAATGTTAACTTTAAGAATGCAATTAATTATTATAAGAGTTACGGACAAAAGTTTGAAGATGATTTTGAAATTCGGTCACAAAAATAAAATACAATATACTGTCGGATAAAAAACGATGTGATAATCTTTCTTTTAGATGATTATTAAGTATTCGATGTAAAATTTTCGTTTTTATTATATTTTAAAAAACTATGAAAAACAATTTTTTTTCTAACGTCTTGTTCGAATAATTGATTTTTTTATGAAAATTTAATTAAATTTTGTAATAAATTAGTACGCGAAGCGGATTATTTTGAAAATTATAATAAAATTGATTCAAACAGCTGGAAGATATTAATATTTCGTTTTTCAATTGAAGTTGGTGAAGACGTGTGCATTCGAATATTTCATGATATACTACAATATTTATTACGAAAACTTTGGCTTCAAATAAAGAAATAATAATTTTTTTTTGAGATTAATAATATTTCGAAATTTTACACTGTATAATATATTTAAAATATTTAAAATTTGAATTGTTTTAGTGTAATACAGGTATATTTGGTATACTGAGCGAGAAAAATATAGATATCCTTGAAGTTTTGATAAACTGTTGATAAATTATTTTGGCACTTCTCGTTGTAGCCGATTCTAGAACGATCCATTAAAAGAATCAAAATGTTTTGGTCCATAAGAATCGTTATCTATCATCATTTAATGAGTGCAAAAAAAGTGAGAAACTGATTTTTGAAATTTATGTCAAGGGCGTGTTTATATTTATATATAATTTTATCTTTGATTAAGCTACACTTAAAATGACGTCTTCATTATTCGAGAGCAATATTAAGCTAAGCTAAACACTTTTATATCTCTTCTGAAAATCACAAATTTGATTTGTCGATTAAATACTTCATTAGACTGTTAACACATTGCGTGTAAATAATGAGTAAAGTCTTTCATTTTTGCTTATATCATCTGCGTGCGGTCACTTGTCTTCATGCATTGAACCATTTCTAAACTATTCCGTTAAAAAGTCGGCGAGATTTAAATTAGTATCAGTTCCATAATTCTATAGATTACTTGAAATATAGTGTCACAGTTTTCGCGAACTTTTATTTAGACAGAGACAAATACTTATTTTTGCATAAATCCCTTCCATACGTGTAAATAACTTTAATTGATCAAGCGAGGAAAATAGAAATTATTTTGATGCTTTACAATGTTAACTTCGCAAAATTTTGGATGGGTTAACGTTAAATATGATCCCGATGTTATAAAATTCAAAGTACTCAAACTTCAAGGTACAATTTACAAAGTAATATCCGAATTTTCACATATTTAGTGATTACAAGCAAACCATAACTATATTTTCGTCTTAAGAACTGGTGCGTCTTTTCTGGAGAATTATTTAATGGCAACATTATTCGACTTCACCATATATTTTTAGTTTTTATTCAATTCATATAAATTTATTGTAGTTCCATGATATTGGAGTTACTCCTGTCGACATTGGAATGAGATCGTTTTTAATAGGGTTGCCGGGCAAATCCCATAGGTTTCAACATGCATCGAAATCAAACCCGTCGAAACGTTTTGCCAAATATTTTTTATTAAAGGCAAAATTGCGAAAGTTTCGACGGATGACAAAGTTTTCGAAGAATGGCAAAACTCATCGAAACCTTTTGATATAAAATAAAATTTTTGAATTTTAAAAATTTATTATTTTGCTTTACTAGATGAGCAAATATCAAAGGTCATTTTCTAATATAATTTCATATATTTATATATATTTATATAAGAAAAAACTTACATATTGAAATTGAACTCTTCAAGTCCAATTAAATCATTTATCTCCTAATTAGCATTTTCTTTCATTTTAAATTCCCTATCGAGTTAATCAAACATTTGCTTGAACAAGTTGATGGTAAAAAGGAACAAGATGGTTTCTTTAATAGAAATAAATGACATGAATTAAAAACAACTTCTTGTGCAGCTATTACTATGTAAATTCTTATTTGGGAAATCTGAAAGTTTATCTTTTTATAGGATTTTATAAAGATGCAGCAGCGCCGAGATCTTAATCTTATCTTAATATTATCATGAGTAATTAATGCGGGAATGTATAATTTATTAAGCTTTAAAAAAATTTATTTGTTCTACAGAGTTTTTTTTTATAATAAATAAAATAATTTGCTAGTTTGAAATAAAGGTTGGAACCGTATTCGGATTTAAATCCGGATCAAATTTTTAATATTAAGTAAATCCGGATACAAAAAAATAAACCTCTCATTACCAGATTTGAAGTTAGGCATTAATCTTATATTTGTTTAACAAATTCAAAGGAAGGAACTTTACCGATTCTGAAACATTTAGATAGCTTCTCGACAATGTATAGCAATTTAGAAAAGTTCAAGTTTTTATAATAGGAATTATATATTGGAAATGTCTTCTGATTCACTACAATCTGTATCAAAATATTATAGAGTACGATTTATAATTCTAAAAAAGACGACATAACTATGGTAAAGTGCAGATTATAACGTTTACTCAATATTAATACGCAATCAAATTCCTAATCTTATTTTTTTTTTAAACTTTAGTTTATAAAAAGCCTTGACTCATATATAATAACAAATTTTAAATAAATCTCTTTTCAACAAACTTACTTTCAAAAAATCAAAATGCCTACATTTAAAATTCTCGGAATTCAAACTTTGGTGTTTTGATCGAAAAGTAAAAGATGTTTTCAAAATTATTATTGGTGAAAATAATGATATTTCGACCACAAAAAACTAATCGCATGGCGATTAAAAGCTATAAATCTTTCATAATGGAATGGAATGTTGACATTGAATTTGAATACAGTAAAGTTAATGATCTATTAAATGATAAATTTGAATATATATGAAAAATACCGTTGGAAATCTTTTATAATGTAGCGGGTAGCACCGACATTCGCGTTATCCTTGAAAAACTCGCAGTCCCGGGCTTCGAGTTTATACCATTGGTGATTTTTTTCTAAACCCGTCTGTAATCTTAATAAAAGTTATATGGGAGGTTTGCTATTAATATCGAGTTACGAACATATAAAATCATATGATCCATAACGTGATTTTAATAGCAAACCAACCATATGTTAATTTAGAAGAAGAAAGTAAGCCTTTGAACTACGCGACGCTTAACTTTAAAATTATTGCATTCTCTCACTAATATTGCTTCTTTCTAACTATTATAGCATTGTATGAATGAAGGTAAGAAATTAAAGTATATGGTTGATTATTTATTGTTTCTTACACTTCTTTTTTATGTTTCTATAGAGAAACTCGCTATCGTTGAGCTTAGGAATTGTCTTACCAAAGAAAAATTTACTTTCCCCTTTTCAGCTTTTATTTTCTTTTGAAAGAGTGTGTTAATATGATATGAGCAATGAAACAATGAAATAAAGGCAATAAGTTGACATTCAAAGTGCATTACCTTGCTGAAGAGATTGGACCAAAACTTTCGAATGGCCCTTCAAAATTGAGATGATCAATGTTGATACAGATATTAAATATTGTTCGGAGAGTCGATTTGAAACGTATTGAATTCTTTTATTGAAGAAGGCATGAATAAAGGTTTTGCTAGTGGTAAGCTCATCAACATACGTATGAAATCGGACTTTATGACAACAAGACATTGATCTATTTATATCATCAGTATGATGACATAGATTATTACCAATTTTTATTATAATGCAAAAAAATTTTGTTTCATTGCTTTGCATAAAGAATGATGATAATTAGATAATTTACCAAATATAAACGATAAAATTTCTCATTTATTAAAGTGTACTATTTCTGATAGAAAAGCTTCAGCGTTCGGAGGTAGTATCTTGCTCATCAGAGCGGTAATTTTAGAATATGAATGGAAGTGAGCGGAAGAGGATACTATTGAAGTCTAAGCCGAGATCTTAATAATAAAAGTTTATTAATATTTAAA